CCGGGGTGCTGGTGGGCTGGCAGGCCGCCCGTGCCCGCCGCCGCTTCCTCCGCTGGCGCCAGCGCCGCCTCCAGCGCCGCCTCGCCGCCGCCCAGGAGCAGCTAGAGGCGGCCTGAAGCCCGGGAGAGGGAGGCCTCGGTGCGTCCCTCGCGGCCGGCCTCCCCTCCCTGCCCTCGCGTCGGCTTCGGGAAGGGCGACGCGAGCCTCCGGTTGCCTCCTCCTGCCTCCTCCTGCAGCTTCGCCTCGGCGTGAGCAGAAGCGGATCCGCCCTGCGCTGCTGTCAGAGCTGGTGGAAATGGCGTTGAAGCACCGCTGGAAAAGGACGGCATCCGTGGAATACCGGCGGCTCTCTTTTGTTCCTTGGACGACAAGATCCCAGGCTGCAATCAGACTAACCTCACAAAATCCTGAGGGTACAGGAACAACGACACCAAATGTATTTCCCTATTTCAAAGGGTTGGCTGTGTTTGTCTCGCTCTAAGTCTACATATGCTGCTCTGCCCTTTGCTAGGAAGTGCTGCCAGTACATTAAACTATCAGAAATCATGACACGATGTTCCTAGATGTGCTTATTTCTTGGATAAGTGAAAACATACCTTACAGGCGCTTGTAACAAGCGACGAATCTCTTTATGAAAGTACACGTGATAAAAAACAGCGGGGACAATTAAGTGGTGAAATAGCTGCACGCTTCGGCAGGGTGAATGAGCAAATTAAATGGAGGAGGCTTGTGCTTTGGACTCTGAATTTCTTCTTTGAATCCCCTTTGGGCAAGGGATTGTGGAGATAGCTGTAGCACATTCTGTCTTCCCCTCCCATCACTGGCAAATTCCAGAAGAATATTCTTTGAGTCTGATAAAGGGGTGTGCTCCTGTTTTCTGCTGGAGGATTTACTGCACACTGTGCAGCCTGCTGGTTTTCAACGGTATTACAGAACTGTCAAAGTTTTAAAATTTCTCGGGAAAAAGCCCAAAATTGTCCAGCAACCCTTAAGATCATGAAATGCTGATCTGATAGTCCTGGGGCTTTTTAGCAGCAACAAGGTTTCAAACCTTTGGAAGTTCCTCCAGTGCAAACACTGGGCTGTGCAGTATTGAGCGCTCACGTTCAGCAGAGCAGCAGTTCACTGGAGCGCATGGTTCAAACTCATCTCAGGCTGAGTTGCACTTACATTCCCAGCAAAGCATCGACACCTTTTCACGGTGTGCTTTTTGATGGTTTTAACCTGGAGACCAGCAGGCTGTTAGAAGCAGGGGTTTCAGTACAGCAGCCAATGCCATGCTGTGGCCTTGCCTGTGTACCGTACAGGTGACATTTGTCAGGGCGGGGGCAGCGGTTACCAATAAGTGTGAAGGGTGTGCTCATGCATTTTCCAGCAAAAGTTAGAAGCCTCAGGGGTTGCCCTGGGGAGGGCAGGGGCAGGATTACCCACGGGGTGGCCACGGGCTGACTGTCTGCCAGTGCCCACGCTGTCACCGAAAACCGGGATAAAAATAACTTATCGACACCAATTTGATGCAGATAAGCAGACACTTCTTTATTGACGGTCGGAAGTGTAGGGGAGTGTTCTCACCAACAACATGTACCACGCACCAGAATCATACACCTTATATAGAATTTACTCATACATATTCATTATGTATTCATACATAAACATACAATTTCCAAGAAATCATTAACATACTCTCCTCCTATTTCCAATTCTGCACAGTAAAGGTTAGAAATGTCTAGAAATGGGTCTGGGGTGTGATGTGAGTAGGTGGTCCATGAGTTGGTGGTCGCAATCTCCCCCTGCCGGAATTACCTTTTGCTAAAGGACACAGTTTTCTTGGCAGGTACTTGCAAGCTGTTGTGGTCACTTCCCTCAGTTCCCATTAATCCTGGACCTTCACAACTACTTGCATTCTTCTAGTCCTATGTATGTATTATAAATCAGTTTACAAACCATCTTGTGTTTTGTTACCTAGGTTCTAGCCGTTCCTACTAAACAATTATGACCAATCCCTTCGGCCTTGGCAGGGGGCTGTACAGGGGATTTTAGAGTAGCAGTCGGTTGCTAGATTCAAAATGCAATAAATGTAAAATGATTTTTACTAAAATATCTCTTAATTCTATACTAAATCAAACACAATTTAATTTCAGTTGATGACAAAATCAGTAACAACACCGGGCCCTGCGACTCCCTGGCTGGGGGTGGGGGCGGCCCTTCTGGCTTCGACCTGCAGCCCCAAGTGGGGTACGGCAGGGCAGCCCCCGCAATGGAGGCCGCGCAGCCCCCGCCATTTCCCGCCTCACGCTCCCGGCGTGCCGCACGCCCC